CCAGGAAAGAACAGTTTAAAATTAATGTAATATAGTATTGGCCATACTATATGATGTATTGCTTGTCTTTGTTTAATAATACAGAAGACAAAGACCTTAAAAAATAATCGCATATCGCATCGCAATCGCAATATTGGGGCAAAAAATCGCAATTAGATTATTTTCCATAATCGTTCAGCCCTAGTACTGATGCTGACTCCCTGCTGAGCAGCTGCTTGTGGTACAGTGGGGTGTTCACTGTGTGGAGGAGGCGGGGCCCTGAAGGCTTCACTGGGTGAAGTACAACCTGCACAGGTGGCCAGTACAAGTGCCCACAGCCAAATTGAAATCTCCAGTGGAAGAGTGTGGCGAGAACACAGACCAGCTCTGGCTACAAGTCTGACTATGAGAAAATGATGATCTGAGTCGCTGGTTTCAAGCCTTATTGAATAAAACGTGAAAGTAATTTTGGCCCCACTGCAGTCAGAAAATAAGAATAATTCAGGCTCATCAGCATCATTCAGTTTCTCACAATCAGTTTTAAAAGTATTTTGGTCAAAACGCTTCACAATGGGATGAGGTGACGCCATCTTTTATATACAGTCTCTGCCTCTGTCTCATAATGCATGAGAACTCCTCAGCACTTACACATGATCACCATGTGACCGACTGAAACTGTGGGGTGTGGGTCTAAGCTGCTGCTGTGTTTTTGAATAAAGCTGGAATGCTGCAGGATTCAGATTAAACAAACGTGTTCAATTCATCGACAGGCACCGATGATTTCTTTGTGCCACGAAACACTCGCTCGGCCCTGAATGAAACGAGCTGGAGCGATGTGTCGGCGAGGCATCGTGACCGCAGCCCACTGAGGAAGAGGAGGAGGAGAGTGAGGGAGGGGCGAGCTTCAGGCTGAGGAGAGAGAGCAGCGTGGGCTGAATATCAGCGGAGGCGAGTAAACGCTGCAGGACGAGACTTCCAGAAACTCACCTGGGTTCACCGCCGTGACTTTCACTTTGTGTCGGATCATTTTTCACAGTTTGAGGGAATTTTCAGACTAAAATCAAATCCTCAGATTCTGCCTTTGGGCTCTGCTGCAGGTGAGACACACACGGAGACATCAGCTGCAGACATGTTTGTCTTCGCTTATATATATGATATAAAGGAACAGCGTGGCACACGTCTCACGGGGCTCCTCAGAGCATCCCTCTCCTCTTTAGCCCGGAGGAGTCAAAGAATTTCACCTATGGGTCCATCTGACCTCAGATCGGTTTCTCACGCAGAGAAGACGGCGCTTCCTCTCTGCATGAATGACCTTTAACCTGCAGGTGTGGACGTCACTGCCAGGCCTGCTCCAGCCTCCCTCTCTTCTTAACCTCAGTTGTAGTTCAGGAGCAGTTTCAGGTGTGGCAGAACATGGACCTCTGCATCGTCCAATCACCTTGCACACAGCACTCACCTGACATTCTCCTAACCCCGGGAACCCTACCGATCCCCTCTGGCACCCCTAACTTCTTGCTGCCCTGGATTTCCCAGCTCTGGCTCCTTAAGACCCGATCTGATAACAGAGCTTTTCATCAGACGGGTCGTGACAGGCAGCGAGTCCTGGAGGTGCATGGACTGATCTCCATCACAGAATCACGCCTGTGCTTAATGCTTTGCTGTCTGAAGATCACAGGTTTGTTCCTGCACACAGAGACTTCTCCAGGTTATTTTGATGGCATTGTGCACACGATGACATATTCAAGTCTAGATGTAGTGTTGTTGCAGTTTGGTGAATGTGTGCGTGCTCTCCAAGATTCCACTCTTCCTCCAGCAGTGTATTTTTATTTTTCATGAAACTGAAAATGACCCAGTTTAAACATCTGATAAATAAAATCGAAGAAAAATAACATGTTTATAAAACAATCTATTTTTTTTTTGTGTCCCAAAGTTTGATATAACATCCATGTGGAGCACACGGGGTGAAACACTAAAATTACTTCCACCTGGTGACAGTAGCCCCCCCCCAAGCTAGCATGACTCTGACCAAAATGCTAACTTTGCATCTTCAGAACCCATGGGTAACAGAGGCAGTGTCCATCTTTTATATACAGTCTGCATTGTGCAGGCAGGTGAAGCTCGGTGAAGATGAAACTGGTTGCAGCAGGGTTTGTGATTTTTAAAGTTTTAAAATGAATTTTTAGCTCTTGGTGACCTCACAGCGAGTCCCCTTCAGTCTCATTATCAGTCCACATACTTCTGAACACTCGCAGTTACCGACACACCTGCCGTCAGCTGATTATCCACGTTAGACAAAGTTTTAAATGAGTAACTAACTTAACTTTCCAGGTTTACATGAAAACCTGACAGATTCAGGCCCCCACTCTGGACACAAGCGCCTCATATCTGTGTGTTGGAGTGAACGGCGTCGCCGAGCTGAAAGAACACAAGCTAAACTTGTTTGAAGCTGTCAGTGTTTCGTGCAGGCGTGCCGTCTTCTCTGCGGCTTCGTGCTTTGTCCTTTTGAAAGCTGAAGTGAGTGGAGAGATGAGTCAGACGCTCTTCAGTCCGACCACGCTGCCGGATTTCAACGAGCGCGTAGGCGACAGAAGCGAGCGGCGTGTTGGCAGCTTGGTGGCAGATGGTCGGCGGGCGGACGACCTGAATCCATTCACAGAGCTCAGACATGAATGAAGACAAGCACATACACAACACACAATCCAGTACCTCCAGAAACACCCGAGAACTGCTGTCAAGTGGGAGGTTTTCTTTCCTCCATTCATCCTTTCACATCCTTTATTTTACAAGCACAGTTTGTTGGGAACATGCCGTCTCCTCCAGAGGAAAAACCTTTGCACACTTTTCAGCACCTCTTAATAAATTAAACAGAATCTAAGTCTTTCTGAACAGTAAAAAGCAGAAAAGAATCCACATCTGGTGGTTACCAGCTGTTTACCAGACGCAAAGCAAAACGGTGAGCGTTGAAATGTCCTGCTGTGGAATGATGTCATCGATGACCACAACTGCACTGTCAGATTAAGGCCCTTTTGACCTTTGACACTAACGTTTGTTTTTGCGTTGCAGGCGACTCTATGAGCCTGCTTGCCCTGAGACACTTTCACAAAATCACAATGAAATGTGAAGCAGAATCCTGACCTGCTGATGGAGGAAATGATGGGGTTTCACGCTGGAGCGGTACCACAGGTCATCATGGCGAAGTCTTCAATGCTGTTTGAATCAGCACAGTTTGGATTCTCCATCAGCTGACGCAGAGCTCATCGGAATCATCACTTTAAGAACTGAAGGCCAGTCAGTCCTGAAAACCTCTGAATGTGTCCCCAAGTGCAGTCCCAAAAATCATCAAGCTCTACGAGGACACTGGCTCCCATGAGGAAAGGAAGACCAAGAGTCACCTCTGCTGCTGAGGATAAATTCATCCGAGTCACCAGCCTCAGAAATGGCAAGGTAACAGCAGCTCAGATCAGACACATCTCTACATCAGCTGTTCAGAGACTGTGAATCAGGTCTTTATGGTCAGGACAAAGGAAAAGCAGCAAGCAGGAGCAAGGAGTGGACATGAGACCAGTGCACATCTGTGCTTTGGTCTGATGAGTCCAAATTTGAGACCTTGTCTTTGTGCCACACAGAAAAGGTGAACGACGGTCTCTACATGCATGGTTCCCACCACGAAGCACGGGGCAGGAGGTGTGATGGGGCACATTGAACCACAGCACCCTGCAGCCACGTCATCCCATCATTTATTTAAGACAAACAGCCGACATCGGACTTAGTTTGACTCGTCTGTCCTTTAGTTTCTCACAGAGCTCATTTTGCCCACTGAACACTAGCATCCTGCTAATGCGTGCCGACTGGTCGGTTTAGGACAGGACGTCTCAGGAAGTGCAGTTCTCCGTTATTTCTCTGGACATTTGTGACCATCACAAGAACATCGTCTGTGTTCTCTGAGAACATTTCAAAGAACCTGGACGCTTTATAGCGTCGTTGTTTAGGAGCTCACGGACTCCAGTGCAGAAAGTGTCTGAGAGAGACACGGCAGACTCCGGCTGGTTTACATCACTATCGATCAATCAGCACTCAGTGACCTGTTATTGTTCCGTAAACGTGGAGTTTGTTTCCTGACGTCTGAACAAAGACGGAGCTTCTGGGATCACGAGGTCGAGTCGAAGGCTTAAACCCAGTCCTGATATCAGAGCTCATTTTATTTTACATGCCATAAATCCTTTCAGTACTTTCACAAACAAAGCCAACAGTAATGGAACAGAAGATATAAAAATATAGTTCTCTCTCTCTCTTTGGGAAGGAGCAGCCAATCAGGTCACCTGATCATACAGGAAGTTCAGCCCTCGCTTCGTCGTGTCTGAACCTGTGACGAGGTGCGTCAGCAGTGGAAGATCTGCTCCAGGTAATAGTCTGTGTCCTGCAGAGGGAAACCTCTGAGGTCAGGGATCCTCGGGCATCATACACTTCCTGTTTCGGACCTGAACCACTTCCATCCTCTCCTTCAGGAAGTTTCCGAAGGCTTCGGTCTCCTTGCTCTCCTCCGTCACTGAAAAATCAAACATCATACGTCCGAATGTTTATGAAATAATTTCAGGCTTCTAAGAAAATCAGGAAGCTTAATCCACGCCAACTCTTTCCTCACCGGCGTGGTCGATGTCGTCTGTGTCGCTGTCCACCGCCTCCTCGTCAGGATTACCGCGTGTCATAATGAGGTCACTGGGCCCGGCGATGTCGGCTTCATCTGCCGGCAGGAAGTTAATCGGTCAGTTAGAACTACAAAAACGTAGCATAATAACAGTTTAGCTTCATGGCGCCGGCTCTACCTGTGGACGGCGTGTTCCTCATGTCGACGGCTCCCAGGTCCTTCCGGAGCCGCTCGAGCTGCTCCTGCTGCTTCTTGCTCCGAGCGTCGGTCTGCAGGACAGGAAGTCGGTTCAGACAGGACGACGTGAGGGCGGAGCAACAGGGAGAAACAAAACAAAGCACTCACCAGCTCTTTGCGGAGTCGTTCGTACTCGGGTCGGTAGTCCCTGAGGAAGCAGGAGGAAGACTTCAGTTCGTCACAACAATTTGTTTCCTCCATGAAAAAAAAAAAAAAAAGAACCCAACGCTCAGCGTCGAGCTCCACGACTCAAAAGTCTAGTTTTTATTTTTGAGTTAAATAAAACAACTGTTACTGTTGCTAACCACCACACCATGTCTTACAGACTGTATACTGCTTATGTGGTTATATGGATACTGCAGCAAACAGAGTCCTGTGGTCATTAATTCAAAGTCATTATTTATGGTTTCGTGATGCACGCTCAGTCATCCAGGTCAGGAAATCACTGATTAACCCTTTAAAGCCCACCACAGAACCAAGTCCGCTACAGCTTATCTTTATATTTTTACCTGCTGCAGTGCAGAAGTGTCTTGCCCAAGGACACAACGACCAGGACAGACAGAGCTGGGGATCGAGCTGGTTACAAGATGAGCTTCCCAAACCCCTGAACCACGGTCGCCCACAAAATATTTCTAGGTTTATCCCTCAAAACTTTAAATGCAAAAAGTTGTGCAACATACTTTCCAACTACAGAGAATCTATTCTGAGTGTCTTCATAGTTTAATTTTTGACACTAATTTTCCTAAAGTGCAGGAAAAACAAAATACTTTTGTGCACAACATGCAAAAAAACATCAAAATAAACTAATTCATACAAAAGTGTGATTTAAGCTTATGGCTTTCTGTACAGTTTCTGGGAGGCTTTAAAGTCACACATGACTTTACAAAACTGCAGCAAACCTTTGAAAGGCCTTGTAAAAACTACGTTTCCCAGAATCAACTTTCTGGGATTATTTATGGGTATTTGGCGCCCTCTAGTGGCTGACACCACACGCAGCGTCCTCATATTGCAGACACAAAGGACATTTAATCTCTTTACTATTCTTCATCTTTAATAGAGTCATAACTTATAGGACTTCAAAAAAAACACTTCAGGTAAAAAATAAAATACAAATTAAAAACCTCTCAGCTTTATGAGGACCAAATGTTTTTATAACTCGCCTATTAAAACTGTATTAAAGCTTAAAGGGCGACAGTGGCTCAAGGGGTTGGGAACCGGAAGGTCGCCGGTTCGATCTCCGGGCTCTCTGTTCTGGTCGTTGTGTCCTTGGGCAAGACACTTCACCTGCCGCCTACTGGTGTTGGCCAGAGGGGCTGATGGCGCGATATGGCAGCCTCGCTATCGTCAGCCTGCCCCAGGACAGCTGTGGCTGCAACTGTAGCTGCCTCCACCAGTGTGTGAATGTGAGAGTGGAATTGTAAAGCGCTATATAAATGCAATCCATTATTACTATTAAAGTTTTCAATATGACGGGTGTGGCCTCGCGATACAGGTGTAGCTTGTTAGATTTGTATTGTTGATTGTCATTTATGCTTAGAGTTGTATAATCAATGTTCATGTTGGTAGAGGTTTGATCCTTAATAGTCTGCAAAGGCTTGGTGCGCATTCCAGAGTGTTCTGGCATTCACATCCTGGGAGAGGTCGTACCTGCTCTTATTGTTTTATGGTAGGATAAACGTGGCTATGTCAGTTTTAGGCTAAGTGCCTTTTGTTTAGATGGACCGCTAGACTCCTGGCACCAGCTTTGGGGAGTCTTCACAGGGTCACATCTTGCACTTGCACACACACAGTACTCTGTGTGTATGTAGACGTCATATGTTAATGAACCTATGTATATTCATGTGAATAAAAGGAGTGCTATGGGGAACCTGGCTGAGAGTCTGACGGAGGTCAAGTGGGTGGAACGACACTTGGCTCCAGGCAGGTCTCTGCATGAGTAACACGAAGAGCTTTGCCTACTTGGTGTTCAGTGCTTTTGCTGTGTAGTTAAATTGTCTCGTTCCAGCGGTGGGCCTGTGCTAGACAGACCCAACATAGCTGCTAGCCGCCAGTTTCTTAATCAAGTTTGCTACTGTTGGAGGAGAACTTCACAAAAAAACAAAAACAAAGATTTTACACGTGTTTCATTCAGTGTTGTTGTTGTTTAACTACTTAAATCGTGTCAGGCTTGAGGTTTTATTCTGACGCTTTGAGCAAACAAAGATAACCTCGTGTTTTTCCCCTCTGGTCAAAAAGTGCCTGAATGTTTTAAAACAGCTGTATAGAGTCAGATCAGCTCACTGGGAACTCCTCATGCTACTGATCATGCATCTTATCACCAGTGTGTGTGACTCACCTCTCGTACTCCTTGGCCGCGTCCTCCACCTGCACAAACAGCTCGTCTAATCCACTTCCTGTCACCGCAGACACGCCCACCACCTGCAGGTGCAGAGACTTTATCGCTTTATCCTTTTCTCTAACTTGCTCTGAGCCATCAGTGCGTGAGGTAGTGTGGCTACATCCATCCTTTACATACAGTCTATTTAAAACCCTGTAAGCAGGTAAACCGTCAGCATAGCCTCTCCCTGTGTGCGTCACACAAAGTTAAAACTTTGGGGTTTAAGGATTTGCTAAGGGTCCCGTTTTTCGGCGGTCCCTCTCACCCTCAGGTTGGTGTAGAACTCGTCCAGCACGAGGCTCATGGAGCGCGTCAGGTTGCTCACGTACGAGGTTTCCTGGTTCAAAGCGTCCTGGAAAGCCTCAAAGTCCTGCATCCACTCCACCGCAAAGCTGTGGTCAATGATGTCGGTCTGAAAAAGAAAACCACGAGAGGAAACCCCGTCATCAGAAACAACGAGTTCAGCAATGAGCCGGCAGCACGCCGAGCGTCCTCACCTTGTTCATGACCACGATGAAGGGCAGCTTCGTCTTGTAGAGGATACTGAAACACAAAGAATCAGAGGACTTAAACAAGAACTCTGCTGACTGTCCTGATGGGATGCTCAGGTATATTTAGTGACTCATTTCAGGTAAGAACAAGGCCTCCACAATCCCCTGGCTCTTATTTTGAAAGTCTAGCTGCTGTCGTGTATCCCAAACGGCAGGATGATCGAGGGCTTCTGAAGTATCTCTGCAGCCTGCAGCTGGACTCCAACTCCACCGACTTGGACTGGAGATGGGGAAGGACACGCCCATTTGCTGCTACCAGAACTATGGTGACCAGCGGCGGTCTTAGAAAGTGGAGCTGGAGTCCGACTCCAAGGTGAGAGACTAACGGGAGGAGCAGCTGCTGTAAATCAGACCTCAGAGTCATCACGTCTCACAGAAAACATTAAAATGAATCTGATGTGGTTGGTGTTCGGTACCTGCAGGCGTACAGCATGTTGGACATGAAGGTGACGGGGTTGACGCTGCGGGACGTGTCCATGACGTAGATCACCACACAGGGGAAGGATGACGCCTACAAACGCACGCAGACGCTCTAAACGACTCGTCTTTATTCATAACTTAGACATAAAAGCAGACGAGCAGACCCACCAGAGCTTCGGTGATGATGGTTCCAGACGCCGACCAGGTGAAGACTTCGATCTGACCTGGAGTGTCAATCAGGACGTACCTGGAGCCAGAGAGACACCTGCTCATTCATGCTGTTGTTCAGTATGATGTTTATACGCTGCTCAAAAACATTAAAGGAAACTTTAATCAGGATCAGCTGCTTCGCTGTGAATGAAATGAACAACAGGTGAAACAACACTGAGACAACCCTGAACAGGACTGGTTTTACTGGAGGACATTTTTCCCCTTTTACTGTTTTTCAGGATTTTTGCATTTGGCTGTGGTCAGCATCAGGCCCGACCTGCACATCTTTACACAGATAGTCCGACTCCTGCAGGATGGCACATCCATTAGTGCTATTGAAGGTTTGCCGTGTCTCCCAGCAAAGTCTCGAGAGCATGGAGGAGATTCCAGGAAACAGGCTGTTACTCTAGGAGGGCAGCACTCCTAGTAACAGGAGGAATAGGATGAGCACGACCAGAACTACAAAGAGGCCTCCACTGAGACACCGCTGCGAATGTCCAACCAATCAGACACAGGCGGGGGTCGTTGTCGGAGCCTATGCTGGTGCAGCCTCTTATCTCGAGACTATGCAGGCCGTCCCTAGAGGATGAAGGAACTGATCCATGCACTGCCCCGCATCGCCCGACCTAAATCACTAGAACTCCTCTGCGATGTTACGTTTCTCATCAGGACATCACCCCGGCGCCGTCAGGCATTCATGCAAACACGTGGGGGGATTCAAACTCCCGAGAATCATTTCTGAACTCCTGCAACGAAATCTGAACAAAACGGGCCTGCATCGATTTTTTTACTTTGATTTTGGGGTGCCTTTGAATTTAGCCCTGTGTAGGCGCATCATTTCAATTTCCATTACCCCTAACCTATTACCCTCAGTGAGATCTGCTGTGCTTTAAGGTGTTCCTTTAATATTTTGGAGTGTTGTGCATCACAACCACACACAGGATGCCGCTGGCGTCCCTCACAATCCTTAAAACATTTAGCTGCAAATAAGCAGCTACATACTGACCGGTGATTCTGTCGCTTCTTCTCGATGAACTGCATCACCTGAAGAAAACAAACACAAAGTCAGCATCCGAACTGTTTGTCTGGTGTGAACATTCGTACCGCGAGATGTTGAGATTTGTGAGTCACCTGATCAAAACGGGTGGCGAACAGGTTGAGTGACGTCACGATGCCGCCGTTGGGTCCGAGGCCGTACTGCTTCATCACCTCCTTGTAGTTCACCGTGTCCCTGATGTCTGAAAGCAGGAGGACAGACAGAGAAAACTAACAGACGCTGAAGATGACGTGGAGCTAAAAGTCTTTCCGGCTCCGTTTGAGTCACAAAAACACGTGAAGGTTTATTTGCTTTCGCTGTGATGTGTAATGCGAATATTAAATGCACTTCTGCAAATCCAGCATCACACATCAAGTTTTAAGTTCAGTTTGGTTTGAATGAGTAGCGTCCAGCAAACAGATGGATCCTTACCGATGTTTGCAGGGAAAGGGACCTCGTGGACGGCGGGGTCCAGGTTGATGACATATGGAGGAGATTTGAGGGAATGCAGGTGAGCCGTCAGCCTCTGCAGGAAACAAAAGTACTCAGATTACTCGTGACTGCGGCTCACTTCACAACAGGCAGACAAACAGGAAACACTGTTCATACAGAGGAAATGTTCTGAGGAAGAGGAGGGAAGCTTTCTCTAAGTTATTTTATTAAAGGCTGTTGTAGGATAACTAACCTGCTGCCTCTCCTACCTGACTGAAATCAAACTGATTTTGTTTGATGCTAATGGGTTTGTGCGCGGTTTGGGGGCTTCCTCGGTGTGCCACAGAAAGCTGGTTGGTACCTGAGTTTAAGCTGAAATTAAATAATAAAAAAAGCTCTTCCTCCTCCTCTGATGTAAACCTGCTCACACACCGGTACCTGTCGCTGCTCGTTTATTTACCTTTCGCTCTCCCTGAAGAAGCTAACTCATGCGGCTAGCTGCGTTAGCCGCTAAGGGACCGGGACTCACCTGGACGAAGGTGGTTTTCCCGGAGCCCGCCATGCCGAGCACGATGAGACACACGGGTTTGTCCCCGGCAGCAGCTCCCGGGACCCCGCTGCCACCTGCCGTCGCCGAACTGCCCCGGGTCTCCGGGAAAGCCGCATCAGTGCCGGGACAATCCGCCGCTGCTGCCATGATGCTGGAGGGATATTATAGTAACCGGCTGCCGTCCACACGCAGCCGCTGTCGTAAAATGGAAACGCGGTGTTCAAAACGAAAGGCAGAAGGCAGCAGCGTGTTTAATAAACCATGATGAAAACACAAGGAAACTTTATTAGAATATTTTACAGATAAATTAATATAAATAAAAAAACACATGACTGCAGAGAGTAAAATATTTCTGTGGTTCACGGGTCTTAAAAAATTAGAAATATTACTTTAATTTACTTTATTAGTAACACAGTATATAAATAATTAATCATTTCTATATTATATATATTTCTGTATTTTAAAAGAATATTGGCTTTACTAGTTTTATGTTTTGCAAATATTTTAAATAATTAATTTTAATATACATAACTGGAATTTTCCCATGTATCACTAACACTTCCTTTTTTTTAAAAATTATAAACCAATAAATACTTATTTTTCTCATTATAGTCTAGAAATATTCTGAAATTTTACTTTCCTTGAATAAAACTCTAAAAGAAGTAGATTCTACGTCAAATGAAAATTGCTAGAAGTGTGGTGGATGATTTTCACAATAAGACCTCTGTCGTGTCTCCTTCAGCAGTGGATAAAACTTCAACATATAAACATTTGCATAAAAACAGATTTTAAATGTGTGGATTTTAAATTTTGCCACATGAATGTGAACGAGGTAAAACAGCCAGCCTTTTCAGTCATTTTATTGCAAATGAAAAATGTGAGCATACATGTAATTAAATCTTCAGTGCAGATTAAAAGTACAATACACCATCCATAAGCAAAAGCCTCATAATAATCAGACGATAACACAGTCTAACTCAGACAAGGGCACCAGTCATTCAATATAATAATCAACGTTAAGAAGGAGAAATAATGAGACCAAAAATATGAAATAATAGGATACGACAAAAAAGAAAACATCAAAAGTCAGAGTCAGCTATCAAAAGAATTTAAAACATCAAAAAGTGTAAAAGATTTCTGATTATGGGGCAAAGCAGAAATTCATTTTCCAGTTTAAACCAAAACTACAACAATGAAAGATTTAGAAATCTGACGACGAGCACGTTCAGGAGCTGCAGCTGAGCAGGATCCAGACTCACCGAGCCGTCACTGCTTTTCTTATCTGTAGAACATTGTGATCTGCAGCTGTCTTCTATCCAGCGTTCTGTCCTTGACTTTTTGTTTTCTAAATGAGAAACTCTCTCCAAAATCTGTTCTGCAGCGTTTCACTGCAGGTCGCAGTCGGACGTGAAATACAGCAGTGAGCTCTCACAATCACAGTAAACTGAAACTAGGTCTTCAAATATATTTTACTTGACTGAAGTAAAACTAAAAACACTGCCTGAAATGATCCTGTGCTTCCTTAAGTGAACTTGAGATCGACCCATTTAGATCATTTCATATTTTTATTGTTTCAGTCTAGAGCAGCTTTGCATGAGTCACTATTAAAAATAATCCTTCTTTACCTTCTGCTGAACCTGGATGTAGCCACTGTGATGTCACCCTTTGTTTTCAGCTTGTGGAATTGAACAAATTATTTTACTGTTACAATATAATCTACAGCATTAACAATATAACAGATGGCTTTAAGACGGCATTAAGATGTTTAAACATACAGGCGCCATATTAACCTTTATTCCAGGTGCAGTTATAACTATTTTTATACACATCCTGCAGTTTGTGCTTCTTAAAGAGTTGAAGCTCAGTCAGTTAATTGAAGGTCAGAAGCTTCGTCCGGCGCTAGGTCCAGACCATCTATTGTGTAAGTGACTTAGAGCTACGGAAGGACACGCTTACAAAACATACATGCAATGTTATTCATTATTATCTTTTATTCGTTTATATCCTTTTTATTAAGCTTTGAGTAGTGGCATTTGATTAAAGCATTTATTCAATATATTCCGTATATAGTTTCAGTTAGGTTGTTACACATATGAGAGTGGCTTCTGTCTGGTAAGAGGTCATGAGTTTAGTTGGCGAGGTGAGACAGAGTGCATTTGAGGTCCAGACACACACACATAGTAGGTAGACTCATTTCTAGGTAAGAGTTTGCAAGCTTGTAACTGCATTTTGGAGACGGAGAAAATGTTCTTTTCAAATGTGTCAGAAGTCGTTAACAGAACATTTGTGTTTTTGAAACTTATGCATGTGATGTATCTGCTTGACGCAACAGGGTGCGTAATAATACCCCGATGCTATAAAACAACTGCTTGTGTATTGTTAGGAGGAGATCGATGCTGATTGTGTGACAGCGGAGGAGCAATAATGTCAGTGACACAAACACATTGATGGGACCATGGGCACGAAGTGGGCTGTATTATTACTGTGGGCATAACACTCTTTTGGTTCGTGTTCCTATAGGAAGTGTAGGAATGTGCGCAATGGTGAGATTAGGAGCTCCACTTGTGCTAATTGGGGGCAGAGCAAAGGTTATACCAGAAAGAAACACACGCACATTGGCAGCCAGGCGCAAGAGACACATTTTGGCAAAGAGAGGGACCGAGGGAGCACATGCCTACGACCCTAGGATGAATTCACCCACCTGGATTGATTCCATAGGAGTTCCCAATGAATATAAATTAGCAGACCAAATAGCTTCAGGATTTGAAAGTATGTTCACATGGATAACACCGAATAAAAATGTTGACCGCATAAACTATGTCCATTATAATGTGCTGAGGCTCTCTAACCTGACCAGGGACGCCATGGAGGGGCTCGCGGAACAATTGGGTCCGACCTCGTTGATGGCAGTGCAAAATAGGATGGCCCTTGACATGTTGTTGGCGGAGAAGGGAGCGTGTGTGCCGTGTTTGGTGACCAGTGTTGTTTTGTATCCCTCCTCGATATCTGAAACCGTAACAAGCTTCAAGCTTCATCATTATTCTTTTCACAGTCGTCGTTTGTTTGTATCAGGAGTGTGCTGAGGTATCATCCAGCACTCCTTGTTTGATTGCCAAATTGCATCCGTTTACTAAAGTTTCTAACTGGAGCTCCGCCTCCTTGGACGCTCTGTTAGTGCAGTGACCTCACAGCAGCCATATTATTGGTCACATGATGTCATTAAAAATGCTCCACAAGTCTCCAACAGCACAAAGCTCAGTTACTCACTCAAAAACAATCCATTGTGAACTGTACTCGAGTGAGTACTGACGTCGGGCTCTGCACTCTCTGGCCCAGTGTCCAAACTTGCTGCAGTAAAAGCAGCGATCTTTTTTCTTATTCCTGCGAGTCTGGCTGCTTCGAGGTGGCTCTGGCAGTGCCAGCAGATCTGATCTCCACTCTCCCGGATGAGTCACAGATGGCTGATGTTTTGAGGTAAACGTGCCCTTTAACTCCATGTTTTCTAAAATAAATTTGATCTTGGAAAAAGTAAAAGTTTCCCACTCAACATGATCCTTCAAAAGCTTCGCCACGTGAGGCTGCAACTTATCTACAAGGTGAAGATTAAACAGAAAAGCATTTGCTTCACTCATAGTGGAATTCCACAGTCGGTGGAAACGTTCAGTGAAATCTGTTACCGACTCTCCGGGTTTCTGAAGAATCAACCAAGGGGGCACAAATTCAGGGTCATTCCAGGCTGCATTTTTAATCGAGGTGGCGCACTGTGTGTCGAGCCAGGCCGTCATATCACGAGTACGTCGCCACCTGGCCTCGCCATCCACTCCTGGCAAGTCAAAATGTTCCTTCACATTTTCCCACTTGTAGTTATAAACTAACTTCAGCAACTTTTTGAGCTCAGCAGGAGACGGCTGATACACCATGCAGGTGAAACGCAGCCACCTGTGGAAGTCGCTCGGTGTTTTGATGGCGTCAGGAGCATCTCTTAACAGACCGTAGAGCTCGCCTGGGGTCCATACGGCCTTTATGCCATCCACAAATTCTCTGCCGCTGCTCTGCTTTTCTGCCGTAGACCAGGTCGCGACAGGCGGCTCTTTCAGATGACTTCCCTCGTCCGTTTGCGTGCCTTTTTCCTCAGGCGACTCTTTCAGGAGACTTCCCTCGTCCGTTTGCGTGCCTTTTTCCTCAGGCGACTCTTTCAGGAGACTTCCCTCGTCCGTTTGCGTGCCTTTTTCCTCTTGCGTTTTAACTTGTGGAATATTTGGCGGCGGTTGTAGTACTTTTTCAGCTTCGGGACTTTGGTGCCCCTGAAGGAGCCAGTCATAGTTTAGCCCCACTTGTTGCAGCTCCTTGAATAACTTCTCCTCACTTGGGTGAGGTTGTACCAGTGTCACAGCAGAAGGAAATTCCTTTCGCTGCTCTGGTCTTTTGGGACCTTCAAATGTTTTCTGCCTCAGACGCTTTGAGCTGTTGGACCCCATGATGCTCGCTCTCAGTGTGCAGTGAAGGCTGATTAACACTCCAGGTGTTTATCTGATCACAGAAACAGAATAAATGTTGATCAGTTTTGGAAACACACTCGTGATGTTCAGATTGGCACAGTTAACGGATAAATAAAGGCCGTCTCATCATCATCATCATAACCTGTAACCCCCATCGTGTAAAATGACCAATTAACATCCAGAAAACTTTCATCATGCCTGATATATTATGACATCATCATGACTAATATGTGTGTGCTGCATCTAAAGTCAAAGGTCACTCTTTCAAGGATGCCAATATTCACATTTTGGACGGAAGACGGAGTGAACGACCCTCTTTAGACGGAGGGCGGAGCTTATGACACCGACTGTCTGACGTTCTTATGGAGAACAGTAGAGTTTAAATACCAGGGACTCTCCACCGTTTGGTTTTACAGCTACAGAAGCTTCTCGGATGAAACTTAAAGAAGTCCAGTGGCTTTTCTTTCCAAGAAGCAGATCTCTGCAAAGACCAGATTATGAACAAAGTGACAAAATTATTGGAACTTCCGATTATTGTGTCTTTGAGTGTTTTAATACCTTTGGAAAAGGGCGAAATAACAGTGCAGGGTCCAACGTCATGTGGCTAACAACGAGGAGCTGTGAAGGCAGGACAGAGAGAAGTTATCGCTCTGTTGTTGAACACTGCGCACAAACATGCAAAGCATATCTTATCCCACGCAGACAGCTTTCTGTGAGCACGCTCAACTGAAGCCTTAAACTTGTCCACTACAAACTCAGGCAGTGACAAGTAGTCTGATGACAGCAGCATGAAACTAATTCAGAACATTCGACGCGGTTTGCGATTCAGAGAAGAGAAAGAGGAAGTAAAGGATGCAGATTTACTGAAATAAAGGCACTTACAACCTGCTGTAAGAAATACTACCCCAGTACTCTTAATCGAGTAAGTGAAAAAGTCTGAAGCCACCATTCATTTCTTTTGGAAGCTGTTTCAGAGAGAAACTGGCCATATTTTATCGTACCACCCACGACTCAGGGCAGAGTTCCCCAGTAATTAGCTTCAGTTTCTATGATCTGTAATTATGTTTACCTACAAATACTTAAAGGTCAATTCATATTAATAATTGTACTACAAATAAATGCAAGTCTTTGGTTGGAAACAAAAAAATGTATAGAAATTGCCTTCCTACCTGCACATTTATCCTTTCTGAGGTCCTGATGAGTAAAGTGAGCGAGGAAGTTCAGAGAAGACAAAGGCTGATCTCATCTCAGCGTGAGGCTGGTAGATCCACACGACTGCTGTCGTTTCCTCTTCTAAAACACAGTAACAGAAAGTTTGTCCTCAGAGCGGAGCAGATGTGGACAAGCGTGAATTAAAAAGTGGGTTCGGTTTGGCCTGAAATTTGTCTGTTTGCAGCACGGAGCCTCTGATGAAGACGCCTGCTGGAAAGTTACAGGGGCGGAGCTCGAACTGAGAGGCTGAACCATGAAACTATGAAAGTACAGATATAGAAATGAGCTGAACAGACTTTTGGATATCTGCAGTTCCTTTCATGCATGGTATTAGATTATTCTACTTTTGAGTTAAAAGAACATATTCACTTATTAGTTTATTAGACAAGTG